CGATCTTATATATATATAATGTTAAATTAATTTTTAAATTTGTCTGAGTTACATAAAAAAAATGTGAATACAAATTCATTCGTAAATTTATATATACATTATAAAAAGTGTCTAATGCCTTTTATTTTAATAGGTTATAAAATTCTAATTCCACTAAAATTTAGTTATAACTATATATTGTGTGCGTGTGATAAAATAAAACTACGATATTTGTATTGACAATTAGTAAATGTATATTTTTTTATCAATTATATTTATAATTTGGTTCATGAAAAAAGTGAGATATTAATTCGAGACTATCATATCTGGATATCTATTTCTTTAAATAATAAGTGAATGAGTAGGGACGTGATGATAGATTTGATAGTTTCTTTTTGCTAAATTATGACCTCTTTGTTTAAAAATAATAATTGTTTTTCTAAGAAAATTATATTTTGATGCATGAAATAATATTGTCGAATGAGTGTTTAATGTCTTATCATTTGCTAAGATTGCTAACTTTTTTTTTTAACATTTTGATCTAGACATATGATGATTCAACACATCATAAATAGGAGATAAGACAATAATCATATGGTCCTATATATTATAACTGTAGGAATTAATTCGTTAACATTTTTTTAGGGAAAAAATCATAAAAAATAGTACCAAATATAAAAACTATTTTGTAATTTAACCTTTTTGTAGTATGGAATTAATCTTTTCGATAATCTTGAGTTGCCTGAGGAAAGAACTAGCTAATTAATAAGTTGCATGAATCACAGGGGCCTATTGGAAAAATTTTGTTAAATTGCATGAAATCTTTGATTTTATTTTAATCAGTATGATAAATATATTTCGTATCTTTATATATTATTTATAAAAAAAAAAAAAAAAAAAAAAAAAAAAAAAAAGTTAAGTAATAAAGGTAATCAAGAATTTGAGTCATTAGATAAAATTAACTTATTTGAATAGTAATATGAGTGGTTAATTTTTAATATTATTTTTATCATTTAAAGATTCAAGGAAAAATTGTCTAAAAAATGAAAAAACGAATATCGACCCATATATCTTCTTTATATATATATAAATTATCACTATCATAAAAAAAATTAATTTATCACATTGATAATAGATTTTAATCACCTTATAGCATATCTAGTCATGTATAATTCTTCTTGTCAATGACAATCTAGCATAATTTTTACTTCTATACTCTAGTTTAATTTTAATTTTATGAAACGATTATTGTAAAAATAAAAAATAAATAACCATGCCATGAAATCTTTCGACTAAAAGTCAAATATTAATTTCTCAAGATGCAAATATTTGTATAAAGAGTTAACTTATTTCTAAAGATGTTTTTCCATAACTATCAAATTAAAGATTAAATTTATAACGACCTATTTAATAACATAATTAGAGATTTATATACTCATCTAATTAAAACTCACATTGAATATGATTTTTCTAGTAATTATTAAAAAATATAGGATTTATCATAATATATAATAATTTGATGAGTCTATTTCAATTAAATTCTTTCTTGGCAAAGTATTCCCAATCTATGTCAACTAATCTAAATGTCAATTTTTGAGGGAACAATTTTACACACTTTATATATATTTAAGAGAATTAACTCTCTGAAGTGATAGAAGCCAAGTAGTTAGACTTCTTTATAGGGATATTTGGGTCCGGAAGCACCTATGTACCTACCATTATATTATAAATTTATAATTCAAATATTATAATTATCGAGGGCACGAGGCTAAAGAAAATAGAGAAAAAAGTTCTACACGATCCACGGTTCAGATTGATGGAGCATATTTTCAGCCTCATACAGTTGCAGCACAGTATCACGCCCCTCAAGTATGTATATTAGTATATAGTTTACACATTGGCACGTCCAAACGTGAGAACCTCTTCGTACTTCCGAATGACACCTTTGTCCAATGTCAACTCCTACGTGATGGCTACCACCTATTCACAAACCGTTTTTCTTTCTTCTTCTTCTTGTTATATATATATATAAGAATTTAGATTGCAATGCATGCATAAGGGAAACAAACCTTGGTTTATATTATATGGTCACATTTTTCTAGTTTCCCTGAGGCTGCAAATTAACCATCATGAACATGAAGAACTTGAGCATCTCTTTGTGCATGCTTCTCATAGCTCTTGTGCGCTTAGGTGTTAGTGCACCCTCTAACTTCAACTATGGTGAAGCCCTTGACAAGAGTTTGATGTTCTTTGAAGCACAAAGGTCTGGTAAGTTACCACTTCAGCAACGAGTCAAGTGGCGTGGTGATTCTGGTCTCCAAGATGGTTTACAGCAAGGAGTGAGTCCCCATGAGAACTCTTTTTTTTTTTTTTTTTTTAAATTTTGGATTTGATCTAAGTCAGTCTTTTAAGAGTAAAGTAGTACATTTGATCGTCATTCCATGCTCAAACTGAGAATCGAATTCCGATCCTCAGTTAAAGACCACAAGTGGCGAACCACATCTACTAACTACTTTGGTCCCCATGAGAACTCTTTAGATATATTCAAGAGTCGCAATGTTATTGGTTTAGCTTGAGTCATCCATGGATATTTTGTGTTTTCATTTTTGTTGTTGTGTGGTGATGTTCAGGTAGACCTGGTGGGTGGTTATTATGATGCTGGTGATCATGTGAAGTTTGGGTTGCCAATGGCCTACAGTGTCACATTGCTTTCATGGGGAGCCATTGAGTTCAGCAAGGAAATCACAGACTTGAACCAAATAGGACACACATTATGGGCCATTAAATGGGGAACTGACTACTTTATCAAAGCACACACTCAGCCTAATGTTCTTTGGGGACAGGTAAGCAAGTGCAACAGACAGGGACCGAGTTCTTTTGGTCGGTCACCAATTTTCATCTGCCTAAATTAATGATTATAGTACTATATACACAAGTTTCCTAATTAAGACCATTTAAGTTTTTCTTTATTGTTTGACAACATTGCCATTATTTTTCATTATTACTCTACTTCAAATCTACATACTTATCATTTGGTTTAACAACTGTTTAGATAAACTTCCCTATAACTACTTAAAACCAACTACTACAACTTTTATTGAAACTATTTTATCTTTTTTTAATTCAGGTGAACAAGATGATAACTTATGTAAGAAATTTGATTATTTTCTTCTATTGAAAAGGTTATTCAAACAAGACAGAAATTGATGAACAAAAACAGACTTAATCATACATGATGAAACTTATTAAGAGTCTATTTGGATACAAACTTTATAGAGCTTTTGAGAACTTTATTAGAAAATACTTTTTTATTTTTAGTAGAGAAAATTCCAAAAACTCTTTCAGGCTTATATCCAGGCTCTAACAGCTCTTCAAAAGTATTATTACTTTGGTTGAATGTTAAGTATGCCTATTTTAATGTAAGATATTTCTTTGCTGTGAGAAATTTCAGGTGGGTGATGGAGTTTCTGATCATTACTGCTGGGAGCGTGCTGAAGACATGACGACTTCAAGAGGTGCCTATAAAATTGATGAACAACACCCTGGCTCAGATCTGGCAGGTGAAACTGCAGCTGCATTGGCTGCTGCAGCTATAGCTTTCAGGCCCTACAACTCCTCCTACTCTAGCTCCCTTCTAGTTCATGCAAAACAGGTGAGCATCCACATTGATTGATTAAAAATCATTTATAATACATGACATTGAAAGGGAAATTGAGTGTGGGGTAAATATTTAAAAATAAGGAGTACAAATCTCAAAACACAACTTGGTATTCAATTCTCTATTGATGAAGGCTAAATAACTGTATATTACATCACAACAAGAAACAGGTGATGCACTGACAGTGTGAAATCATTTATAGTAATTTATTGACTTTTATAATAAATAAGTAAAAGGTCATGCCAACAATGAAATTTGATTAGTTGATAGTGTAAAATTATCTTACACTGTCTGTGTGTGACTATTAAACTCATACACAAATCTTTTTCATATTTTACACTCAAAGGAGTTGTTGAACTTGTTATTGATGTTCTGTGTGTTGCAGCTCTTCACATTCGCAGATAGGTTCAGAGGTCTCTATGATGACTCCATATCAAATGCTCAGCAATTTTATACTTCGTCTGGTTACTCAGTGAGTAAACATTGCTCTATTTGCCTTTACTTTTATAAGTATCCAATCAAGTCAAACTCATACGGTCCTGTGTAGGATGAATTGTTGTGGGCTGCGGCTTGGCTGCACCTAGCAACTGGTGATGAATACTACCTAAAGTATGTGGTGGACAATGGTGTGTATATGGGTGGAACTGGCTGGGCAGTAAAAGAGTTCTCTTGGGACAATAAATATGCTGGTGTGCAGATCCTCCTATCAAAGGTAATTATTTATGACATCATTTTTTTTTCTGCTTTTTAGCCACTTAATTTAAATCCATTTCATGTTCTCAAAGTATAATATCTATATTTGAAGATAGTTTTGTTTCAAGACAAAGTGATATAAGGTGCATTTAACCAATTATGGTTCAAAGAATGATACAATAAATGGTTAAACCAAATTTGCAGGTATTGCTAGAAGGAAAGGCTGGTTCTTACGCTGCTACACTAAAGCAATACCAGGCTAAGGCTGACTATTTTGCCTGCGCCTGCTTGCAAAAGAATGATGGTTACAATGTCCAGAAAACTCCAGGTTAGATGCCAAAGTACAACATTTAGCAACCACTTCAACTCCTAGTCAAATGGATTTTAAAGAAGCACTCATGGAAAAATCATTTTGTTTTGTTTCTGCTTACCAGGTGGCTTGCTATACGTGCGTGAATGGAACAACATGCAGTATGTTTCTTCTGCTGCATTTCTCTTAGCAGTTTACTCTAATTATCTCTCAGAAAACAGAGCACAGCTCAACTGTCCAGATGGACAAATTCAGCCTCAGGAGCTCCTCAGTTTTGTTAAGTCACAAGTATGTATTGGAATCTGCCCTTCCCTGGTTGATCATGTGTCATAGTTAAACGAAACTTAGAAGCAATTTTGTAGGTATATTTTATGTTCTCCGATCAAAATTAGAGTTTCATCTCATCTCACTAATTAGTGTAACAAAGGCTTGTATTAAAAATCAATATAGGTTATCAGAGTAAAACACTAATTTTAATTGGACAACAGCCCCAAAAACACCTACAAAATGTATCTAATCTAAGTATTGTTCATCATCATGGTTTAATGTGACTAGTAAACTAAAACTTGAATTTTGATTTACACAGGCTGACTATATCCTTGGTAAAAACCCAGCGGATATGAGCTACTTGGTAGGATATGGACCAAAATATCCTCTTTATGTTCATCACAGAGGGGCTTCCATTGCTTCAATCTTTTCTCTTCACAATGAGGTTGGCTGCACCCAAGGATTTGAGACATGGTATAACCGTGCTCAGCCAAATCCTAATGTCATCTGTGGTGGCCTCGTGGGTGGTCCTAATAAGAATGATGACTTCTCTGATGATAGATCCAATTATGAGCAAACTGAGCCTACACTTTCAGGTTCTGCTCCTCTTGTAGGCATCTTCGCTAAACTGCAGAGTTTATATGGTCAAATAGGTGAAGGTGAGGGATGACCACCATTCTAAGCTAATCTGCTCTGTTGTCTTCCTCTTCCTCTATGAAGTCTCAATCATTTTCTCTTGTCACAGGTTACACCCATAATGGATCACCAGTTCCCCAGCAAAAAACACCTGGTGAGTATTATAGAACATGTTCAGTTTCATGTCCCATATGTGATTTTTCCCGTTTACTCAAGCTAATACTTGTAGCTTTCATGCTTTGTAACATAATTGAGAAGCTGATTGGATACAAGCTTATAAGAATTTCTTTACTAGAAAAAATTCTTTATTTTCATCAGAGAAACTCTCAAAAAATATTTCTAACTTGTATTCAAACAGACTCTGAAGTGATTTCTAGTTCTTCACCGAATTTTCCAGACAAGCATATAATAAACTTGGACAAAGTTTAAAAGAGTCTAAACCTTGTTTTTAGAAAGTTTATGCTCATGCAGCCTTTGCACTACTAAACTAACTAACTTCTATTGCCTTCAAAGGTACAAACCCGGGGAAAACAACAGTGTCTGAAATATCAGAAGGTGATATCCAAATCTAACTATCGTTGCTTTCCAATTTTTTATTTTTATTTTTTGAAAACACTGGCCTAAGAATGGTGAGGTTATATTGCAGGTGCCCCAGTTGAATTCCTTCACTCAATTAGCAGCTCATGGAATGTTGGAGGTGCAACTTATTACCGTCACAGGGTGATAATCAAGAACACTTCTTCAAAGCCAATCTCAGATCTTAAGTTGGTGATTAAGGATCTCTCAGGCACTTTATGGGGCCTCTCTCCAACAGAAGAAAAGAACACCTATGAACTTCCCCAATGGCACAAAGTCTTGAATCCTGGCTCCGAGTGTATTTTTGTATATGTACAAGGAGGACCCCAGGCTAAAGTATCGATCAAAAGCTTCCATTGATCATTTGTAGAGGCCACATTCACAAAAGGCACATTTTTCCACAAGAGTAATTGACAGTTAAACTTCTGCCGCTCCATGATTGTAATTTTGTAATATCAACTTGTCAATCAAGTCCATACCCACTTAAAATATTTGTAATATCAGTTTCTCAAGCTTTCCTGTTTGATTCTACAAACAATCAAACATGTGAAAAAAGGTCATTTATGAAATTAAAATCTTATACAAAAAGGATATATATCTTTGTTTGCCAAGGAAAAAGTATTCAATAGAAAACCCCGACAATGTGGAAAGAAATACACACGCGGGTGCAAAAATATACAAGAGCTTATGCTATAGTATTTGCTTGCAGCGAGTTGTTAAGGTACCATGATCTTAAAGTTCTAGTAGTCAACAATCATAACTTCCTGACACGTCGATAATATTTTGAGCTCAAACGTAATTACATGCAGATTAGGAGTTTGTTTGTTTCAAAGTTTAAAATTTTATTTCTATAAATGTGAATTTGACAAAATATTCATGTTTATTATGAGCTTTAAAAATTATAAAATATTGTTTTATGTCCAAGAAAGTAATAACATACTATTTTACTTATTTTTATCCTCATGGTTGGGAATAAAAAAGTCAAATTCTCGTAAGAATAAGAAAAGTTAACTTCTAATCCAATTATAACCTTTACTGCTTCACCTATTTTATATCCTAATAATCATTTTGAATTTTAAAAAAAATCATAAAAATATTAAAATCTAACCACATATTTTGAATTTACTCGGGAATATTTATAGTATTTTCTAAACCATCTAGAATTTTCGGAAACATGATGCACGACTCACGGGAACATCTTTATTTCCAATGTATATCTCAAATGAGCATAGATCAATGCAAAGATTCTTACATTCATAATCATATGACCTGCATTTCTACCACATTGCAAAAATAAATGTTCAAAAGTCGTGAGGCAAACTCAGAAAAATAGCCTACAAAAAGCAAAGCAAATGCTCAAAGTGGATCCTGCACTGTCTTGGTTAGGAATGAGGAAGGGAAGCAGAATTTGGATATGGCTACATTGAAACAAAAATATTGCCATTGCTACGCTAATTCATGTGACACTAGCTTTTGTGAGGTAGCTTCCACTTAATGCTGGTCCTTGGGAATGTCAAGATCTTTAAATATTGGACTGTCAACTCCAACACCCATAGCATTCAGACCATTGTCAACATATAGAACAGTGCCGGTGATGGCAGATGCCAAAGGTGATGCTAAGAAGGCAGCTGCACTGCCAACCTCATCTGTTGCACAAAATTACAACTCAGTTGTGCAAATAATCATGGATTGAAAATGGAACATGTACATTACAAGGAATAATTCCGATGAAAATGTTACCTGCTGATAGTTCTTTCTGTAGAGGTGCATTGGCTGATGAGTAATCAATCATCATATCAATGAATCCAATAGCCTTTGCAGCACGACTTCTCAGTGGACCTGGGGGCGAAGATACAATGTGTCAACATGTTGATCAAAAGTACTAAGTTCCATGCAAACAACCAACATCCTTGGAGAATAGTTAGCTTTAACAAAGATGAAATTATAAGCAGTTGATGAGAGACAAATACGAAATAGCAAAAACACTCGATCTAAAAGAAAAAATTTCCACTTTGTTTTATTGTAAGGAAGACTTGATTCATGCTAATTAAACAGTGAGATGATGGTGTGAAAATTCAAACCAAGTCCAAATATAGGTGCCCGAATGAACAGCTAATTGTTAATACTTAACAAAACAGATGCCTTAGAATTTGTTTAAAGAATTTAAGACATCCAGAGTATTTGATAGAATTCTGCACATCCGTGGGATAAAAGATCAAAATTTTCAGACTAAGCCCATTGTACAAATGTCACATACAAAGCAAGACGCCCATTTCTCCCTACCACCCTGTCTTCCGCATTAAGAAATCATAGCAAATGAAAGCCCATTAAGCAGACAAGGAGCTTAGAAAAATTCATTAATTTGGATAAAAAAGAGAAGTCGCCAATACCAGCAGATATAGTATTGACTCTGATTTTGCGCTTTCTTCCTGCTTCAAAAGCAAGCACCTGAAGAGGCGTGAAATATGATGTAATTAAAAAGAAAAGTGAAAATGGAGCACATCTAAGTCAGTCTGTGAATGGTGAGTTTCGTTTTCTTTTTTTTTGGCGGGGAGTTGAAGCTTACTCGAGTATCACTCTCCAGTGCAGCTTTTGCAGAACTCATACCACCACCATATCTGTATCATTATTTAGATCATGAATATAGTCTAAAATTATGGAACATAGCATATAAGGACTTTTAATGGCATAACCAACATACCCAGGAATGATCCTCTCTGAAGCAATGTATGTCAGGGAGATTGAAGATCCACCTAAAAATAAATCATAAAAGTAAAAGATAAAATGATAAGCAAAAGTAGGAAATAATATAATGGATGCCCTGTTAAATAAGAGACATGCCTGGGTTCAAGATTGGAAGAAAATGCTTGAGTAAAGAAACATAGGAGTAACTAGATGCAGATATTGCAGCAAGATATCCACTCCGAGATGTCTCCAACAATGGTTTGGTCACCTATAACAGAGTTAACTTCTTATTAAAGCCAAATATCAAACACACAAAGGAATTTCAATGCTTATTAATGTATTTATCATACCTCTGGTCCATTGGCAAGTGAGTGCACAAGGATATCTATGCTGCCAAAGTCTTCCTTAACAGATTCAGCAACTTCCTGAAAAGTAAAGCAATGAACAAAAGATATAACAAAGCCAACTTAAGCAGTCAGGCATGAGTCAGGACAGCTTGAGACACAGTTCATATTATTATTAATAAACACCACTACACACTTAATACTTCATTAGAATAGTAGGGTTCTGCAACTCCCAGAAGAAAAAAGAATATCATACACTTAACTACCCAAATGAAAAGACACTTACTATTAAAGAATAATCTCTTAAAAGTAATGTAGATTCAGGTTTGGTCAGGCAAAAAAGGTAGAAATTAGAGAATGGGAAAAAAAAACTCCCAGATTAGACATATTTGGTAATACCGACATTGAGAACATAAGAAGTAAGAAAAGTAGTTGAATGGTTTATGTAAAGTTCTTACTCAAAAATAAAGGGTCACGTGATTGCCATAACTGCTATTCATACATAAAGTCCAACATGGCATGAAATAAATTAGTTAAAAAGTAATAATATTATATCAAACTTGTAACTTCTAAGCTTCAGCCTTAAAATACAATTTACAATATATAAACAGATCATGCCTTCACATCTACAAGAGAGGAAAGAAGAAAGACAACTAAAATATGTAAGAGTAAATGAAAATACATTTTTAATTCAGGGTTGGTTTCATAAAAATGAAAAACAGAAGAAAAATATTTCAAACTTTTTTTGTTTGTTTTGGGGGTGTCAAACACACTACAGCATGTAACACCATACCAGAGTAACCAGACTAGTTCCTTTGTCCAGCCAAAGGAAAGTCTACTGAAGTCAGTCTAGCAGAAAAATAAGCAATATACTTTCAGCACTGAATTCCACCTTTAACCCACAAGTACATTATTTGAAATTTTTATCCAAGATGGCAGCCAAGTGATAATTTTAACCATATAAAATTTAGTGTATATACCTGAACTGTCCATTTGGCGGATCCTGCGTAGCGCTTGTTTGTTTTTATCTATACAATTGTCCAAAACAAAAAAAAACCATGAGGATAAAAATTCTGACATGAATGTACTCCATATCTTTGTAAGAAAAGAGAAACTAGGCATCTCTTATTTACATCTTCTGGCACATCATCAGGACTGTCAAAAACTGCATCCAATGGATAAACTTTGGTAATCTCCATTAGCGAACCATCTGGTAATCTGGAAAACATAGTTTCTTATTAGTAGAGCATCACATAGTCTAACAAACAAAATCAGCAGCAGTATTTAACATCGTACATGCGTGATCCATCAAACTTTCCACGTCGTAGGCTGGACTCAAAAATATTCAGAGCCTATAGAAATGATTCACAATTAATAAATGTATCAGCACAAAAGAACTGGAAAACATATGCAGCGGAGGGGGAGTGAGGCTTTGCTCCAAAAGTCAGCAGACAGAACCTCGTGAATTAGTATATCAACTGATAGGTACCCTTTTTTACCAAAATAAATAAATAACTTACAGGTACCCATGTGCCAACAAGAATTTCAGCTCCTGCTGCAGCAAGAGATTTTGCAATTGCCCATCCATATCCATTGTCATCAGCAACACCAGCAATAAAAGCCCTTTTACCTACAAACAATGCTATTTTCAGTAAACTGATCCTTGTTCACATCCTCTATGACAGTAAAATCCATATGTATGAAAAGAACCAATCAAATTACATGATTCAATAAGAAAACTCACTTATTTTTTTTATGAATTTATCAACAAAAAACAGATAAATCTGACTATTAGCTTGCCATTCATGTTATGTATTGAACTATTATGCAAATGGGCCTCAGTAGCAAATGCCAACTTTCAATAGTATTTTACAGCTGAGTAAGCACATGTTTAATTCTGCATGCTGACTTGTACACCAATTCAGGGCTAAGTATACTTTGAAATAATTGCAGTAAACAGGGAATGAGATGGCCAAGTTGTCAGAAATTTAACACTTCTTCCAAAACTTTGATAAGACATCATTGAGACAGATATGTAAATAAAAACATAATATCAAGAAGGAGCATCAGAGAAAATGAACAATACCTTTCAGATCAATGGCCAATCCTGAGACTGGACTATCTGCACTAGTATCAGACATAGCCTTTGTGACACTTTTGACAGATCTTATGGATGATGATGCGAAGCCCCGATGGAAAGGTTGCACTGATGCAACATGACATGCACTTGCAAGTTTATTCCATGATGCCAGCTTGGACTTGCCACCAAGAACCACAGTGCCTGCATCTGCAATCTTTTGTGATGAAGGAACACATGATCTTGACATTGCAATTTGCAAGCCAGAAAATGATGTTGTTGCCATATTTGATGTGTGAAGTATGGCAGAAGAAACCCTAAATCTACATAAGGAAACTAGCATCAATAGTTAAAAAATAAAAAAATTAAAAACTACAGATAAGACTTTACTGATGTCATATTTTTTCAAATCCAATACTTAAAAGTTAAACATGACATAGATAAACCGGAAGTTCCGGTTACTAACAGCTTGATTACAAAATAGAGACAAGACAATTGAGTATGTCCAAGTGATTATCAGTTAAATTCACTGTATAATTTAAATGTTTCACCGAGCAAACAGTTTGAACTAAAATTAACACAAAGAAATACTAAATTAATCACTCAAGATAATTAAAATTATTCCAAATTATGAAAGTCATCAAGAATAAATATAAATATACAAAACAATTAACCAATTGAACTGTTACTTCTGAGTTCTACAAATCGTAGCTAAAAATATTTCCTTCATATGCTTTAACAAGAACCCAAAAAAAAAAA